ACCACTGGGGTATTCCTCCCACACCAAGGATGGGGCACTATTCCTCCCACGGACACCAAGGATGGGGCACTATTCCTCCCACGGACACCAAGGATGGGGCACTATTCCTCCCACGGACACCAAGGATGGGGCACTATTCCTCCCACGGACACCAAGGATGGGGCACTATTCCTCCCACGGACACCAAGGATGGGGCACTATTCCTCCCACGGACACCAAGGATGGGGCACTATTCCTCCCACGGACACCAAGGATGGGGACACCATTCCTCCCAGGATGGGGCACTATTCCTCCCACTGGTACCAAGGATAGGGCACTATTCCTCCCACTGGATACCAAGGATATGGGGCACTATTCATCCTACCCCAGGGCACTGATACCTGATAACAAGGATGGGGCACTATTCATCCCACTGATACCAAGGATGGGGCACTATTCCTCCCACTGATACCAAGGATGGGGCACTATTCCTCCCACTGGTACCAAGGATAGGGCACTATTCCTCCCACTGATAACAAGGATGGGGCACTATTCCTCCCACTGATACCAAGGATGGGGCACTATTCCTCCCACTGATAACAAGGATGGGGCACTATTCCTCCCACTGATACCAATGATGGTGCACTATTCCTCCCACTGATACCAAGGATGGGGCACTATTCCTCCCACTGGTACCAAGGATGGGGCACTATCCTCCTCCCACTGGTACCAAGGATGGGGCACTATTCCTCCCACTGATACCAAGGATGGGGCACTATTCCTCCCACAGACACCAAGGATGGGGAACTATTCCTCCCACTGGTACCAAGGATGGGGCACTATTCCTCCCACTGGTACCAAAGATGGGGCACTAGTCCTCCCATGGACACCAAGGATGGGGCACTAGTCCTCCCATGGACACCAAGGATGGGGCACTATTCCTCCCATGGACACCAAGGATGGGGGACACCATGGACACCAAGGATGTGGCACTATTGCGCCCACTGACACCTAAAACAGGGCACTATTTCCCCAGAATTCCAAAGATGAGGCATTTTCTACACCCACTAGCTACAGTATGGCCCGCCTAACGTCTGAAGGACAGTAAATTGGCCCTTTGTAAAGTTTGGAGACCCCTGTTCTAGGTGGACAACATTCACCCTGTACTGTGTGGTAGAGAAGCATTGTTACCCATGTACGCTCTCCTCACTTAAATGATAAACATCACCTCTTCTAATTATCATTGCATAGGGAGGAGGGGTTTAGTATGTCTCAGAAGATTTCTGGGAAAGTTGATAACCTTTTGCAAAGAAATTTACAAGTTGATGGAATTCTATCAGGATCAACAGGTATAGAGCGTGTAAAAAAAAAAAAAAAAAAAAAAAAAAAAAAAAGTGCTTGGTCTGAACAAATAACACCAATGCAGCCACCACATCCAAGGACTGGTAAGTTGCAATATATCACATTTCTGTTGTTGTGTTCAGATGTATTTAAAGAGGGATTTATTTTACAAATATTTTCTGGATACAAGGAAACCCTGAAATAAATGTACTTTGTAGCAAAGGCACAGGTTTGTACTCCAAGGTCCAGTTATTAGGCAGTGAGGCCCAAGACAACAAGCCCACCATTTAGAGGAGCAATACCAATGAGAATGTACTAATGTAGTGTGCCCCCTTCTTCCTTCAAAATAAAACATTGCAAACGGATAGGAGAAAGCATATAGTCAAGTGCTTCTAAAGCCAACATTGGTTTAGGGAGAACACTGATAATGATTTGTAATTGAGTTACTTTTCTAACATCCTGCTAAATTTACTAGCATTGCTCATTAAATATTTTTTTTGTGTGTGCAAGTATAAGAAGTATCCGATGTACAATAAAAATATTAGCAAATGTCAAAATTAAAAAGAGACAAAAACATTTTATTCCACAAGCAGACCTGTGGCATTTTTATTATATAGAGTGTAAAATGCAGTTGTCAGGTAAGACATTTCTCTGTAACATACTCAATATTATCCAATCGTGATTTTTTTTTTAATAGTTAAACAATTTTTAGGCATAAAAGAAGAAAAAAACAAAAGTAAAAGTCAACCCCCCTTTTTCCAAAAAACGGAATGTTCCCATGGATTAAATTTTTAAATTCACACACAAAAAAATTAGCTTGTATTCCGTTAAAAAAAAAAAAAAAAAAAAAAATACAGTCATCTGTACAAGAAAAAAAGAAAAAAAAAAACTACAAACATTCAAAATCATATCCCTTTTATTAAATCAAAAGTATTTTTTAGCACATACTGTGGTTAATACTAGAATTTATTTTCTATGATAAATTTGACAATTAGATATGAAAATATTTAAAACAAAAAGAAATAAAAACAAAATAAAAACAAAAACACAAAAAACAAACCCTGGAGTTAAAAAATAGTTATAATGATTCTTTTTTAAACGTCTCCATACTGTTAAATGTTCCACAGTGTTTACATTAAAGATTTTAACAGCTGAATTCTTTCATATTAAAAAATAATAGTATTTATTTTATTCTGACAGCACAAAAAAAAGGTGATTTTCCTGTTATCGCTTGGAAGCCTGATATACATAGGCAACTGAATAATTGATAAACATTGCTTTATAAAATACACCCCTCCTCTGCCAGAGAGAGTTGGGTTACATTGCACTGCGATGTATAGCAATTCCCTCTGGAAGAAGAGGAGTTAACAATCATTTTTATATTAACCCTTCAAAACCCTGGTTATTATACAAACAAAGCCTACAAAATATGGCCCTGCTCCCCCCTCCCTTTATAACCCCTACACACAATACTTGTCTCAAGAAATAGATTCATATATTCACTTTTCAGAATGAACAATCATTTCCAAGTAACAGATTGATAATTCTCTTTAAAAAATATAACAAAAAAACAATGCAATAAAATCAAATACAGTCATAATACCAGAGAAAAATTAGACGTAAAACATTTAAAGAATTTACAGTTAAGAATATTTAAATACACATTTAAAAATTTTTTTTTTATAGAGGTGGTATACATTTTTTATCAATAAATTTTTGTTTAACTTTCATGATAAGACCTCCAAGCTGCACTGTCCAATAGACAAAATGCTACACACAAAAAAAAAAAAAAATTGAGACAAATATTTTGTAATATCAGCACCAAGGGGGGGCAGGGGTACACAGTGGAGGAATATAAATTTACATACATGTCTTTTTTTTTTTTTTTGGTTGATTTTTTTTCTTCAATGTAATCGGTTCCAAAAAAGAATTCATGTTAACACTTTTTTTTTTCAAGGGTAGCAAACAAAAAAGCAAAGAAAAAAAAACAAAACAAAAAAAAAATAAACCCAGCACATTTAAATCTTTAGTTTTATTATATAATCCTGATTCTTAGCAAAGTTCAGTATAGATTTAACTCTAGGACTAGTGTTGTAAAAACAAAGAAGTCTTCCTCAAACGCTGTCAAATCTATGAACGTGTTACAAATTAAGGTTCTTCTCCTGCCATGATTCCAAAGGGAGAAAAAAAAAAATCATCAACTGGACAATTGTTCTACTGCTCCTGCAAGGGGGGAAAAAGGAAAAAAGCAAAACAAGAATTTACATGAAAAATGAGGAACAAAGTCTCATTTCTAATGAAAAAATAACCTATCAAGTAAAGCAAGTATTTCAAAATATTTTATATATATATATATACATACACACACATACACACACACACACACACACACACACACACACATATAAAAATTAAGACTGGACTATACAAACTACTTTTGAAAATTAACTGATGTACTTGAATAGAATGTCACTAGTATAAAAATCTTCAGGAGAAATATTTACATTACAGTTGTTTTTTAGGTCTCTGTTTTTAATTAAACTCTGAATTTTTGATATTTAAGTCTGGTTTACACCATCAGGATATGATGTTAATACACACTGTGGTGCATAAAATATATAAAATATAAGCTATGCAAACACATGCACTATTTTGGGAACAAGCCTGTGATGTTGGGTTAAAAATGTTATTTCTGATAAAAGTAGATTAAAAAAAAAAAAAATTTTATACAGATTACATGCAGCAGAACACAATTTTTAAAACAGAAGCATACAAATATAGGTGGAAATATACATATTGGGGTTGATTTCTTAACACGGAGAGTGCTAAATCAGGTGCAGCTCTGCATAGAAACCAATCAGCTTCCAGATTTTTATTGTCAAAGCTTAGGCCAGCCATACATGGGTCGATTTTTGAACGATTTTTTGTTCGAAAATCAGACCTAAGAATAATCGGCTGATTTTCGCTCTGTTAGTGGGGCAATGGCACTGGCTGATTTTCGTGGTTCTTCCTCATTTCTTTGATTGGGCATGCTGGACAATTCGGGAAAAACAACCGATTTTCAAAATCATTGGTGGCACCATCGGATTCCAGAACGAGCAATGTTTTTCGATTTTCATTTGGAATTCGACCCATGTATGGCCTGCTTTAGTTGAACAAGCTGAAGTTAGAAGCGGATTGGCTACCATGCACAGCTGCACCAGATTTTGCACTCTCCAGGTTTTAGTAAATCTCCCCCAATGTATTTTCCCTGTTGTCAAAAAGTCTTGAATTTTGCTATATGGAAATACTACAATTGTATACCAGACCACATAGCTTAAAAAAACCTCAAGGCTAGTTTATATTTCTATTTAGTGAACAACATTTAGAGGCAACACTGAATTTTTCAAAGTAAAAGACTTGCTAGGCTCAACCCATGTCACTCTTGTCAGACACACTGGCCTACATGTAAGTGTCGAGAAAAAGATACAAATGTGAAAAAGAGATCAATACTTTCATTGCATGCAGTACCTAGAATACAATACTTTAGCAACAGTAGTGGTAACTGGCCACTCCAGTAAATGACAGCTGGAACCTGGCTCTTTGGGGTACAGACGTTTCCTTTCTTTGCTCTTCAGAAATCCTCCCTACACCACCACTATTCTTGCCTAAACGGCCCTAAGCTGGCACACAAAGACATTACTCACCTGGCTGTGGGCTTGCCCCTGGCCCAGTGACTGTCCGTAATATGCAGCCTGTTGTCTGTAATACTCTGCCCATGCCAATGTGTAATCTGGTTGGGAGCTTGGCTGTGAGGTGGCGCTGGCAGCCTGGGCTGAAGAGACATAAAAAAGGAAAAGTATGAACTATGAAGAGTCCAGGGAGAGAATCAGAAGAAGCACAGAATCTAGAAATGGTGGGTCAATCTCCATACAGGACACACAGCTCCCAGATGAATGCATTTAGTGGAGTTAAGAGCAGCACATGACAATAGTGGTATGGAAACACTCACTCTGCTTCTTGTAATACTCCTCCCATGCCTTGCTGTAGTCTGGCTGCGCGTTCTGCTGCTGGCTCTGTTGACCTGAGAACAGAATGGAAAAAAAATAAAAGGAATAAGCCAATGGTGCAGGTAATGGATTTATCTGAAGTGCTTTCAGTCATGTACCACTTGCACAAATCACAAGTAAAGGACACTCGTCTTTTCTCCCTCTCCATAGCTTAAAGTGTCAGTCCACCAAAATTCCTATCTCAGTCCCAAAGATTAACGGACATCTGTTTTCATATGTGGTGATATTTTCCATCTGTAGTCCCTGCTGTCTGGTCTTGGAATCTGAAGAAAGTCCAACAAGTTAAGTGTGTAGACAACTCAGGGAAGAATCTCCTCACCATTGGAGCCTCCAAGGCTCCAATGTGCTGAATTCTATGTAAAACTGGGAGAATTTCTGAATGGACTGAGCCTTTAAATGGCCACAATAGAGCCTTATTCTCCACAAATATAAGAGAGAGGAGAGGTTTATGGGAAGGCTGGAGGAGTATTTAAACTAGGATCGAGGGAGGAGGGAGAATTAGATTATAACAGGGTAGACAGATCAGCCAGGGGTCAGTCCTTATTGGTGGGTGGAATGGGAAAGATGGGGGGGGGGGGGGGGGAGGCTATGGCAGATAAGAAGGTTCCCATGTTACAAACAACCAGTGGAATTGGTACCATTTGTATGAAAATAAAAAATATGCAAAATACGTGTGAACAAGGTGTCAATGCATTAAAGTGTTTGTTCACCAATGCCAGCAGTCTGCCAAGCAAAATAGGTGATTTGGAAGCTTTGGTGCATGAAGAGAACTATGATTTAATTGGTATTGCTGAATCTTGGCCTCATTCTTCACATGACTGGGTCATTAATATTCCTGGTTATGTTCTCTTTCGGAGAGAAAAGGTAAATAGGAAAGGTGGTGGTGTCTGTCTCTATGTGAGAAGTGATCCAGTTGATGGGAGTGTGGGGAATGTGATGAGGTTGAAGCATTATGGGTGGAACTGCATATGGATGTGCGTAGTTCAAAGTTAATCATCGGAGTTTGTTACAGGCCACCGTGAGTTAATGAGAAGGTGGAGACTCAGCTCCATTGCACAGATCAAAAGGGCTGGGACAGTGATAATAATGGGGGATTTTAACTACCCAGAAATTGACTGAAGTAATAGTACTCCAGGAACAGTTAAAGGGAAAAAAAAACTATTTTTAAACCTACTACAGGACAATTTTATGGTACAGTTCATAGAGGCCCCTACTAGGAATGATGCTGTGCTGGACCTGGTAATCTCAAACAGAGCTTATTACAAATGTCCACATAAAAACATCTGGGTAGCAGTGACCATAACATGATTTCATTTATTGTTAGCTGCAAACAGCGAGCACATACAAGGGAAATAAAAACACTCAATTTCAAGAGAGCTAATTTTCCAAGGCTGAGAGCTGCTCTCCAAGACTTAGACTGGGAGGGAATATTGGCATCAATGAACACAACACAGAAATGGGAGTGCTTCAGAAAGACTATGTGAACACACTGCAAAATATATTCCCATGAGCAACAATTTTAAAAGGCTAAAAATCAAACCTATGTGGCTTAAGGCCAAAGTTAAAAAAAGCTATAGATAATAGGAAAAGAGCTTTTACTAAATGTAAAAATGAAGGAACACTATCATTGTTTAACCATTACAAAGAATGTAACAGAATATGCAAAAAGGAAATAAAGGCCCCAAAATTTAAAATGAACGACAGATTACAAAAGATAGCAGGACCAACCTCCAAAAATTCTTCAGATATATTAATAATAAAAAGGTCCGGTCCGAGAATGTAGGCCCTTTACAAAATAATCTAGAGTGGGTGACTGGGGACAAAGAAGGTAAATTTATTAAATACCTTCTTCAGCTCTGTGTATACAAAGGAGCATGGGGGAGCTCTTGTCCATAATGGGCAAGGTATTGACACAGCTCCAGATGATGCACATTGGCTCACAATTGATATGATCCAAAAATATTTAGACAGAATAAATGTGAATAAAGCACCTGGACCGGATGGCATACACCCACGGGTCCTTAAAGAATTGAGCTCTGTCAATTCAAAGCCATGGTTTCTCATTTGTAGGGACTCTTTAATGACTGGCATAGTACCACTGGATTGGCGTAAGGCCAATGTGGTGCCAATATTTAAAAAGGGGTCAAAATCTTTACCAAGTAATTATAGACCTGTTAGTTTAACTTCTATAGTTGGGAAGATACTGGAGAGTTTAATAAAGGACCACACAGATGAGTTCTTGCTGGAAAAAAAAAATGTTTTAAGCAACAGACAGCATGGATTCATGAAAGACAGAAGTTGTCAAACAAATCTGATTTCTTTTTATGAGGAGGTGAGCAAAACCTTGGACAGAGGGGTGGTGGTGGACGTGTTATACTTGGACAGAGGGGTGGCGGTGCACGTGGTATACATGGGCAGAGGGGTGGCGGTGGACGTGGTATAATTGGACAGAGGGGTGGCGGTGGACGTGGTATACTTGGATTTTGCAAAAGCGTGACAGAGTTCCTCACACACGACTAATGTGTAAGGTACAGTCTACAGGCTTGGAAAATCTGTATGTAAATGGATAGAAAACTGGCTAAAAGATCGTATTCAGAGAGTAGTGGTTAATGATTCATACTCTGAATGGTCTGGGGTCATCAGTGGTGTACCCCAAGGTTCAGTGTTGGGACCCTTAGTTTTTAATATATTTATAAACGATATAGGGTCTGGGATTAAAAATCCTGTTTCAGTCTTTGCAGATAACACCAAGCTGTGCAGTGGAATATCGTCCTTACAGAATGTCTCCAACTTACAAGCCGACCTCAATGCTCTGTTTAATTGGGAAACTATGAGGCGAATGAGGTTTAATGTTGATAAATGTAAGGTTCTGCACTTGGGGGGCTAAGAATATGCATGCATCATACATACTAGGGGGGGTACAACTGGAGGAATCAATGGTGGAGAAGGATCTGGGGGTTGCGATATCATATTACCCCGGTACAAATCATTAGTAACACCTCATCTGGAATATGCAGTTCAGTTTTGGGCACCAATTCACAAAAAAAACATTGGGGAACTGGAGAAAGTGCAGAGAAGGGCAACCAAACTGATAAGAGGCATGGAGGAGATCAGCTATGAGGAAAGATTAGAGGAACTGAATTTATTCTCTCTTGAGAAGAGGAGATTAAATGGGATATGATCAACATGTATAAATACATCAGTGGTTCATATAGTGAAGTTGGTGTAGAGCTATTCACCCTGAGGTCATCACAGAGGACAAGGGGGCACTCTTTACATCTGGAGGAAAAGAAATGTAATCTCCAAACACGGAAAGGTTTCTTTACAGTAAGAGCTGTGAAAATGTGGAATAGGCTCTCTCAAGAGTTGGTTCTGGCCAGCTCAGTGGATTGCTTTAAAAAAGCCTGGATTCTTTCCTATATACATAGAATATAGCTGGATACTAACATTTATAGGTAAAGTTGATCCAGGGAATATCTGATTGCCTCTCGGTGGATCAGGAAGGATTTTTTTTCCCTGCAGGAGAAAGTTGGATCATGCTTTACTGTTTTTTTTTGCCTTCCTCTGGATCAACTGTGGCTATAGGATTATAACTTTTTTTTTTTTTTTTTTTTTAATGGTTGAACTGGATGGACTTTTGTCCTTTTTCAGCCAGACTAACTCTAACTATATGTAACAAATGCCTATTATTGGGTTTATCTGGTGGTCAGGGAATCAGGGAACTGTCTGCTATCGATGATGTTCACCCAGGTGTCTGTCAGCTGTTCAGTACATCCCAGAGGCCTTGGTGTGCAAATCACAAGGTCACTTTTGGATTCCCAGTTTAGTGGGGCTCAGTGATTTGCCACTATAGTTAAGCAGCACATGGGGGAAAAATAATGTGGCTAATCTGCATAATGCAACAATAAAAAGGTAATAAACATTGGTAAGCTAGATCAGATCTACACTACATTTAAATGGCTATCAACAGAGGGGAAAAAAGACTGAACCACTAGAACCATATTTTAAATGGCAATGATTGTCTGAAATTGTAAGACATCAGAATCTATGGATGTCACTCAAAGGTTGAGGTCACCTCTTAAGTGTCATATATGACCAAGTCCAAATCAGTTACATCTAGTGACACCCAACAGATGTCAATGGCCACCCTGACCATACTTGCTAGAGGTGAGGTTGCATCTCGATTATATAGCTACAGAATTCTGCCTGTGCTCAGTTTCAGCAGAGTTCAACTGACTAACAGTCCTTCCACATGGCATGGCACATACATGGCTATTTGTTGAGATGAAAAGCAAAGGGCAATATCACATACAGTAAGAGCCATAAAGGACCATTTTTGCTAGGCCACTGTAACCTGCCTTTATTACACCAACAGTATTAACTGAAAGTGGAGCACCCTCCCAAAAACAGGAAATGAACCACACTATCTTCCCCTGCGAAAAATCTTGGCTACACCATCTGCTGCCTTATACAAAGGATTCAATATAATGCTGCATGAAAAAAAAAAAAAAAAAAAAAAAAAAAAAAGCATAGTACCGAATATCTTTCCACCCTGCAGGAAGCCAATGGGTGTTTCAGCCTGGACCCGTTCAAACTGAGTTTTTCGAAGAATGACCCATTCCAAATTACTGTTATTTTCATTAAGACATTTATTAAGAAAGATGGAACGTGAAAGCAAAGTGCCGGACGTGAGCTTGGAGCTCCATCCTCTAAGATTTGACCAATGCCACAAGTCAGGCCCTGTCCATGTGTGAATGGCTTAGGGTCACAAAGTGCCCACCTGCTAATTCACACAATAGGGAGCTCCATCAATGGCTTTTCTTTGGGAAAGTCATTGAGGGACACGCCAATTAATAGACTGCAGGCCAGCTGTTTTACCTCATTGGACGCTTTATGTAGGAGGTGAAAGGGGGGATGTTAGAAGCAATAAAACTCTAAATGATTAGATCACTTATTAGGATGGCTGTGGGGGGTGAATGGACTCGCTCAATTTGTTCACCATTTGGGCTGTGAA